CTTCTCGCTTGCCTGGTCATCGTCACGGTGTCAGCGCATGCAGCTCGGTTTAAAGACAAGGTAGGGACAAAAACAAACTAAAAGAGTAAACCTGTGGGAAAATAGAGAGCTGCAAGGCACGAAACTTGAGAAGAGCAATGTTTCCATCCTGGATAAGCTGTTCAGCTTGAGATATTGCATTCTGAACAGCCAAAAGCTGCTCCATTGTGGTCATAGGAGGAGGTGCTTTTACCATGATTTCAACCGAAGGCCTGCCCTGGTTGCAAATCTCGTAACCACCATAAATATTGCAATAAGGAATAGAGTCGATGCAAAGGCATATCCCAGCCATCCCTGAAATGGACAACAACCAATTCCTATGATCCAGAAACCTACCGATATCAACATAACTTCGTAGCCAACTTGAGTTCCGATTTAGAAAAACCAATATGCCTCCCTTACACAACTACCTTCTTTGGATGGGCTAAGTACCTAAACTGACAGTAAGAGAACATTTACACAATTGTAATTTGTGCCATACCTGAAGATAATGTACGTGAAAATCAAACAGAACAGAAAAGACTTCAGATGATCATCCCAATATACCAGCGAAAGAAGCAAACTTCCCAAGTTCCATCACCGGAAGTAGTAGCTCCTGCAAATTGAAAAAGAAAAGAACTATGAGATGATAGTATAAGTCCTGGAAGTTTAGAAGCAGGAGAAAGAACAGAATATCAGAGGCAGAATAAAGTACTATCACTACAAAACAAATGCACGCATGTGGTGCTTAGCCATTTACATAGTCCCCAACCACATTTAATTCGATAACGATATTCAACATATATATAAAGTTAACCAACCCCATTATTTTAACTAAAGAAGGGTTAAATTTTTGAAACTCTAAAGCAATCAGTTGGATCTTCTGTGATACCTCATAACAGCTATATTGGTGCCATACCATCTACTTTAACCCATCAACTGTTTTTGAGCTAGCACCACTTTTTTATAGTTTTCTCTAGACTCTTTAACTGCTCTCTCCAACATACTAATCTCACCCACAGCTAGTTCACCGACAAGCAATCGAAACCATGGTCAGGCTGAGATTGAGTATGAGATTGAGTACATGCCACCATTAGCCGCAACATTGTACCCCGGTAATTCCCTTGAGCTTGACATATTTGCTAGAGTCTCCAGTATTAAATCTCCCCGGGCAATTGGTCACAAAGGTTAACATGAGAAGAGACTCAAAGCGAACAGAACTCGAGGAACTAATTTCCTGAACAGCTTGCACATGCAAAATTCCAAGAACAGCTTTAGAAAGTGCGCGTCCTTTTCAATTCCAGTAATATTGAACTTATTTATAATCTATGAACAATAAAATTTCCCGGATTATTGCTAGCCAGTAATCACGGCGAGTGTGCCCTTTAAGTTCAGGAAACTCGATAATAGCTGGTTCTGATCTACAAGAGAAAATCAATATACAATCAGAAGATAAATTATATTGTCAGATGAGCTTATGTTAAAACTAAAGCATTAAATACAAATCATGATTGATTCAACAAAAAAAATATCATAAAAACCATAAGGGCAGTTACAAGAAGAATTACAAGGAAATTGATTGTATAAGACTGCCTTGTCAAAAGTCGAGTACCCCATGGTCCAGTGAGCTCAGGCTTAACAGTTGTTTTAGATCATCTGATAAATCATATCTTTTGGGTTTATCATAAGATACAACTCGAAGAGCTTCAAAGTACAATGCATGATCTGTCAGTATTAATCGACCTGAAGACATGCAAGAACAATCTCAGAACAAGCCAAATATTGGACCATATGGTAATCAACAATCAAAGCTTTTTATAAAAAACAAAGACGGTATGAAAGAAGGAAAGGAAAAAAGTATGGTCGAACTAAAGAATTTCACAATCAACAAAGATATCATATACTACAAGTTATTGAATAAAATTTGGTATCATCAACTTACTGGCCATGTTGATATTCCAATATGTTCAAGAACTGGTAAGTAGTAACTGTTCCATCCACCTCAAGTATCTTTCTCCTTTTGATGATCGAACAACAGACAAAAGAGATGATTCTGATTGGCTCTTCATCTTTTAATTGCTCTATAGAGATAAATTTTAGAATATTATATTTAGATATGCAGATTTGCTAAATGAAGATACTTTCATAAATTACTAGACCTTTATTTACTATGAACTCTTCAGATTAACTTAAAACTAAAACTCCATACAAGGAGTAATCAGCATTGGAATAGGCAGTAAATTTTACTAAGCTTCTGGTAATAACTTTCAATATCATATTATTCATCATGTTAATGGTGTATGTTACATCCCATTGTGAATTGGTTTAGTTAAATAATTAGCATGATTAGAGGCAAAGTTGTTATAGGGTTATTTGCTTCAAAGTTTATCCACAACATTAATTTGGGTTTTCTGTCAATTGCATACCAAGTGCTCAAGGATTACAAAACCCCTCATGCTCCATATGAGTTTCAATTATGAGGTGGTGTGTACAGCCAAAATGCCAAGATTATGTTAGGCAGGCGCAGATTGTGCCTCGGAATCATTAGTGGAAATCCATAAGAAATAGATTAACCGAATAATGTAAATTGAAATGGCATGGCACACCATCTAGAAATGAAATCAAATAATATTCAAATCTAACAAAATAAACTTTTAACCAAGAATAAATTCCCATGCATTTTAAACTAGAAGTTCAACCCAAGGTCTCTCCAGTATCAGTGATAATTCTCAATTCCTCGAAGATAACCTCATTGACACATCATCATTTGATAAGGATTGTTAAGTGGTGTATCCCAAATCTTTTAAATATAGATGTCTTATGGTCGTTTATTGAAGTTAGGCCACTCCACCTATTGTTGATTAGTTTTACGTTTGATGCTTTAACATGATAGCAAAGCCTAGATTATATTGTGTTGCTCTTGCCTAACCCATGTGAGGTCAACAACCCTCAATGAGGTTGTCCACGTGCAAGTCTAGTGAGCTCCATGAAAGGGAAGTGTTAAGTGGTGTTATCCTATTTGCACCAGTTATAACGAAATGCCCTTCCTATTTGCAATTCTGACCATACTTGACTGACCATCTTCAATGATCGATCCACAAAATTTCCCCATAAAATAGGGTTAAATGCTTATTTGGCCCCAAAGTTGTCCACTTTTATCACTTTGGTACCTAGAAATTTTTTAGCACTTTGGTACCTGAATTTGCAAAATGTTACCATTGTTACACTGTCATTCAAAGATGACATTACAGGACCAGAAAGCGCCACATGGCAAACAATTTTTTAAAATCCGAAAATTTCAAAAGAATTGTAAAAAACTAGGAAAAAAGAAACAAAATTCTCAAAAAATTAAATATTAGAAATTTTTTGAAAAATTATAAAAATGTATAGTAAGACCATATAAGAATTATTTTCCATGACACTTACATGGTATGTACATACATGTTAGAATTTTGAAATTCTGATTATTTAAGATTAGAAAGGGATTGAAACTTTGACAACTCTGCAACTCCCTCTTCACATATTTTAGTAATAAGGAGTATTTGGTAGTAGCTAGTACCTGTGGCACTGGACAAACTAATTTGAATTCCACTTGTTGTGTTTACTTCTTAAAAGTCTATCATTTCAGGCCTTTGGTCTTCCTTCTAGTGATTGATTGCAATTGACAAACCTTTTAATATTGTTTCAAGAATTTATCTTAGGATTCCTCTATTTGGCTATATAGCCTATTTGGTGATTAGTTGTTATCTAAAAGTCTAAACCTTCAAAAATGAGATCTAAGTAAGCACAATTTTTTTTTATCTTGACCAGAAAAGTTTTGCATTCGAAACACTAAGGGATCAAAACAGAAACAACAGAGGGGCATGACAGTATTTAGGATTGACAATGCAAAGACTCGTACCTCTCTAGTCCATTTAGGTACTTGTCATAGATGGAGAACTGAAGCCGGCCACCTGTTGAGATGGTAAGAACCTCAAAAAGATTTTCACAAATAATCACATTGGCAATGATGGGAACTGCAGGAGCTATCCTAGAGAAGGCTTCCATCCCAACTGACAGATCATCATCTAACTGCAATCAAGACAAAATGATGACCACAAATTTTTGCATAATTCTAGAGTTCAATTGATAATTAAAGGCCCTAAACCATTTTCCATGTACACGAGAAAGTTTGAATGTGCAAAATAAGAGAATAGGTTTTAATTACAGATGATATAAGATCATTTGGCATTCTCACACAATATAATGTAGCATGCATTCACGATTGAAAAGATGAAGCACCCCCTACCCAACACACACAGAAAAAAAATAAAGAAAAAAAATTAGCTGACCCTTATTCTCATATGTAATATAAGGTAAGAGGGAGGTATGATAGTAGGCTGCCCCCAACACCAGGTTGGGAGCAACTTCCGTGGGAGACCTCCGAATTATAAATTGTCTACCGTGGAACTCGATCCCACGACCCAAGATTAAGAGCCTTATGCTCTACCAACTGAGCTGGATAGACAATTCAAAATAAAAATAGAAAAGAAATACATAAAATATGAAACTTACATTAATTAAAGATTGACTGGAAGCTGCTGGGGCTTCCCAGGCAACCATCATGTCAAATGTAAGGCGCCGAAACTTTTTATCTGCCAGATGACCCATCACTTGAGCAGAAAGAGCAAGAGTCCTGAAACAGCAGTATTCCAAGAAGTTCCTCGCATACCATGACTTATGCTTTACTGAATCAGATGCTTCAGCATTAAAACTTTCCTGAAGCTCAATTGAAGTGGTTCCAAGGATTCTGCATTGTTTCATTTTTGTTAAGGAAACTACATATAGCAGTCCAAAGGAAGGTTGCATTGTCCTTATTTGCATCCGGACTGAATTAGACTTAGAAGCACATAGAAAACTAATCAAACAAAAAACTTTCGATTAAGATAGAAGTTGGAGCAGAAGCAACCTACTTTGGCATCTGCGCACAACGATATTCGCAAATGGAGAGAGCTCAGGTATCAAATTGTTTCCAGCAGATGGAGACCTCTCCTCAAATTCCTCTGCAAAGGTGCTTCGCCTGCTAAGTAACCAATTTAACGATCCTTCTCTTACCAAAGCCTCGAGCATATTTCTGTTCTGCTCGCAAACGCCATTTCTAACTTCCTCCCTCAATTCATGCCCACTGCAATGCAATCCATTAAATAAAAGTTTAAATATCATGAATTCACCAATAAGAGTTGCACTTTTTGCAATCTTTTAATGTATCCAATTGGCATTAACAAATGATACCTACAACAAGCCTGGTAACATATTTCTCCACCAACTTTAACCGGCAAGCAAAATAAAAATGAAACAAAACTACTCACACGATTGTAAACATTTGCTAACAACTCCAGATTTCATTAGAAATCCAATTCAAGACTCAAAAAATTATAACTTTTGAAAACCAATGTGTCGAACTCCAATAACAACATAATCCCGACTACTTAAACTAACCAAAGAAACGAGAAAAGAAAAAGAAAACACTTGCCGCAAAGAAGAAAATGTGAACTTTCAAATCCTTCTAAAACCGTAAACTTGTGCACAAGGAAATATCTGTTGATTCCTGCAACATATCAAGAGCCCCGTCTGAGATTAACTTGGTTGAACAAATTTCCACCAACCCGTTTCTGGAAGTAGCAAGATTCACAAGATTATGTCAAGAATCAAGAGCTCCAAAACAACTTGTTTTTGAAGAAAATTCATAATTCTTTGATGGGTCATACAGAAATACTAATAATAAATGTGAGATACAGCAAACTGGAACAACGGGGGAAGGAACTTTTTATTTAATTCATTAATTGCCTAAGACAGAAGCATTCGGGCCACGGGGATTCGATGTGTTGGCAACGAGAACGTGGCATGGAATGGCTTGCACTAATTTGATGCCAAAAGTAAACTTGGTCAATGTATTCTATTTAAAATTATACTTTGGTCGAACCCGTTTAGTTGCTTAAACGATTAAGGCATTTTGTTTTCTCTTTAAATTTTAAGTTCGATTAGTTACGTGCATAAAGTATATGTTATCAATAGTTAAATAAAATTATAAATAAATATTATATTGTAATCACCATAAATTATTTATTTAAAAAATATAAGAATAATTTCGTTGAGATATATATAAATAATTTTCTTAAAATAAATTAGTCATTTTTACACATTTTAAATAATGATAGACATTTATCTCCTAAGATACAATGACAAACAATCATAACAATAGCATAATAATAATGGACAATCAAATACATTATTTTCCTCTATCACTAAAAATAAAATAAAATTTGGGATAAATTTGCCTAAGTTTATATTCTTACATCAACATCTAATCTAATTCATTCTTGTGTGATGTGCTGTTAATGATGTTGTCTCTCTTGTAATAAAGTAAACATAGGTCAATGTACTCTATTTAGAATTATATTGGTCTCCATAAATAATAATTGATCTTCATTAAAATTGATTTATTTTCTGGTTAAATACTGATGTGTTGTTTTTATATAAATTTTAATAACTTTGTCTAAATACAGATTTATAGATTAAATCTTAAGATTGATATATATATATATATATATATATTGATTAGGCTAAAGGTGTATTTGATGTAGGATAAAACTTTACATATTATATGATCTTTATACTTATATATATACTCATAAGGTTGATGAATAAAATATTAGAAATCATTCTCTTCCTAATATTTTATACTTTTGGGTAAAGTATCCCCTAACTATATAGTGTTAGTTTGTTCAATCTTTTAATTATTAAGATTTTTAAAATAGTTTTCTATTATAGGATATTATTTTATTAAGTCTTTCAGCTCTTAAATATTACAAAATGGCCACAGACTATTCATATATTCTAAATTCATTATTTTTTTTGTAAAAGTTAACTTGTTGATTGGAATATGATAAAATCTAATCACAAAAACCGTTTGAGTTGATTTTGTAGATCGATTATCCATTTATTTATATCGTTGAGCTAATGTTTGAAACATTATGTCGTCGAACCAGTGCTTGAAAATAACAACGATGTTAGTAGACATCATTAAAATATGATTTTATCATATACAATCAATATGTTAACGTCCAACTCAAATGATCATCAATTTTTAACAAGAAAAAGATGAGTTTAAATATATGAATAGTCGAGTAGTCATTTTATATCTTTTAACAATTAAAGACTAAAAAATTAACACCCTATAATCGAACCATTTATATATTTTACGCTATAATTTTTTTATTAATCTTGTGTTAAAATTTGAGTCTATCCGCTAGGGTCGTTCATTCGGTTAAAATCGAACTGAATTAACCAAACTTTTTTTTTTAACCGTTAATCGAACCGAACTTTTTTTCGAACATATTAACCGAACTGAATAATTTCGGTTAATTCGGTTAATTTTTGAATTAACCGAATTTTTTTTAAAATTTTCTAATTTATATAAAAATTAAATGTTTTTAATTCAAAAGAAAGTTTATAATTAATTTAAATAATATATAATTATAAAATAAAAAATTCAGATAAATTTTTTAATTAATTAATATTAATTTAGGTTTAGAAGTTATTGGATCTTAATTTATTAATTGGTTTTAAATGGTTTGGGCTTAGCCCATATGTTATATATAATATATTTAATATTTTTTAATTAAAAACAGTTTACAATTAATTTAATTAATATATAATTATAAAATAAAAAAATTATATACTTTTTTAATTAATTAATATTGATTTAGGTTTAATTATTAATTGAGTTTTAAATGGTTTGGGCTGAGCCCATATGTTATATATAATATATTTAAAATTTAATTTCGGTTAATTCGGTTAATTAACCGAATTCGAACCGAATTAACTGTTAACCGAATTCTAAAAATTTTCTTAACCGTTAACCGACCGAACTAATTCGGTAACCGAATCGTATTCGACCGAACTAATTCGATTCGATCAGTTAACCGAATTAATTCGATTATTTGAACACCCCTACTATCCGCTGGGGCCTGAAGGCTTATTCTATTATTGGAAATATAACTCTATCCGCTATGTTGGGCTCAACCAGGGAGCAGAAATCACAATCACAGAAGTTTCAACTGCCACGTGGTCCTCTAAAGATGCATCTCTTATTTTATTCTTAAGGCATAATACCAAAAATAACCCCCAACATTTATTAAATAGTCATTTTGGCCTATACTCTTTTTTTTAGTATTTTGACCGTCAATGTTTCACTTTAGGCCAAAAACTCTCTCCATAGATGAAAATTATTTGTTAACACATGATTAATGCTCCAAAATAGGAGCATTTTTAACCTAAAATGAAACATTGAAGGCTAAAATGTCTCTCCCAAAAAGAACAAGAGACAAAATGATTATTCCATCAAATGTTAGGAGCATTTTTATCTTAAAATGAAACGTTAGGAGTCAAAATACTCTAAAAATAGGATATGGGATAAAAAGACAATTTTAATCAATATTGGGGACTAATTTTGATATTATGCCTATTCTTAAAGTCGATTTTTTTTAATAAAAAAAGGTTATCCCACTATAAATATTATATACCACTAGTCTCATCTCATTTCCATGGATTTGCAAAGTTTTCACTCATTTCCTTCTTGGATATTGATCCTTCCATCCAAATTTGTGAGTTAAACATGGACAATTCAGCCTTGAATTACCAAGGCTTCTTGCCTTTCAGTCACCAAGCTTACCAACTTCAAAACCTGCCAGGTTTTGAACATAATAGCAACCAGGGTTTAGAGGAATATACTAGCAAGAAGAGAAAAGCATTGGATATCGGAGAGTAGTTGTGGGAACTCATCATCATCCCTCATGTAGGTTTCCGAAAGCGGGATCTTCAACAGGAACAAATGTAGGATTTTATGTTAAGAAATACGGTTTTAGGAACTTGTTTAATTTGGTTGTTATGATTGTTATGCAGAATTCGAGAAGAGGGAAAAGAGCACAAATAAATGACACTTCCATGGAAGAGGAGAAACCAAAGCAAGTGGTTCATGTGAGGGCCAGAAGAGGTGAAGCCACTGATAGTCACAGTTTGGCAGAAAGGGTATAATGTTAAAAAATGTCTATAATGTTTGGTTAATAATTATTTTGATATGTATTTATTTTTCTGAAGTATTTCGACTTTATAACATTTTATTTTAAGGCAAAATGACATCTAACGTTGATTAAATAGTTACTTTAATCCTAATTCAGATGAGAAGACAGAAAATAAATGAGAGTCTAAGATGCTTGGAAGATATTGTTCCCGGCTGCTATAAGGTAATCAAGTAATGTACTGAAACTAAGCAGCAAAACCCACAAAACTTTTCTCCACCCATTATCACATTGTTTGATAATTTTCAATCTGCAGACAATGGGGATGGCAGTAATGCTAGATGAGATCATCAACTATGTGCAGTCCTTGCAGAATCAGGTTGAGGTGAGTTCGTAATTATGCATGATTATATGTCACGCTACTAAATTATGGTGCTGCAGTGACCTTGAAAAATGTTATGATATGACTGTTATATTACGTTGTGGCCGTAATTTGATACTATCTTATACGTTGGGGTATTTCACAGTTTCTTTCAATGAAGCTAATGGCAGCCAGCACAGACTGTGACTTCAACTCAGATGCCATGGAAAGGTATGCTGGAGTTGGCTTCCACTCAACATCGCCATGGTCCTAATTTCATTACAGCTCATGATGAAAATGTACCCCACTATTTCATGATGATTAGTATAAGTGAAAACTTATGCTGAAGCATTAATGAAAGCATCGTATTGAGTATTTACAAGAAATTAGCATACAAGCAATGTTGTATTTCCTCCAATTTTCCTTCGTACTTCGTGTATTCCGGAAAATTCAGGAAAAAACATTTCCATATCTCCAAAGAAAAAATCTCAAATGTCTGATATTTCTAGGGAAGTCACCTAACCTACTAGAGCTAAATCTATTGTTAAACGACCATATCAATTTAGCTTGTTAACCTACAGATAGTTATAATAATTCTACGTCTGACATCATCATTAAGAGTCACTAAAAAGTGTATCGATCAAGATTAAAAGAAAGATATGAATTGCTTTTCTCTTCATTCATCCCTCTCCTACCTCCTTATGGAGACAAAAAACTTTGATTCGGTTCAAATCAGAAGGGTAAACTATCTATAATTGTTGTGACCTATTTATTCCTATCAACAACCAACCTCATGCAAAACTTAATCAACTTGATCAGACTTAATGTTTTGCGGATAGACTTGGAGAAACTGGGCTTAAAATGAATAAGAACTTTGGTTATATCAGTTCCTTTCTGAATAGACTTCACTTGCATTAAAGACACTGGTTTAATGACAAACTTCAGATGTTAATCGATTAAGAAATGATACGCAAAGGCCGACAAATGAACCAGACATGAGTTTTCATACAGCCCATAACAAAGAAATCAAACTTTAGGCACTGTAGTTTTACCAATATACTTAATTTATAGCCCCACAATGTCATTTGAAAAGCTGTGTGAAGACATTTACACGAGAAAAAAAACAGAAACAAGCACCTCATGATGCTTGCCTTAACTTTGACCATATAGAATTTTGAAAGAATAAGATTTTGATGCAAATACGCGTTACAAACGCAGAGGCAACAAAACTTTTTGTTGAGTATGATGTAGACAATAACAGTAGATGATAGTCGGAGGGTTATTTGGTAATGTAGGCCTTGTCTTTCGGAGAAGAAATGTGTAAGTACCCTTACTCTCTGTTTTATAGCTATTTATAATGTCCTGGACAGGTGTCGATAGGAAATTATTGTGATATTGGTATTGACTGGACGTGCTAAGAAGTTATGGCTTAGACTAGTTTATCATCAAAAGAGATCACGAGTATCAACTCGTGGTCGCAGGTGATCATGCGTGGAATGTGTTCGCGAGGTAGTATGTGATCGACAAGTGACCGCTGCTGGTTATTTGTGAGGTACGCTCCGCTTGTCTAGAATTAGTATGCCTGAAGTTTTACTATTCGTATACCTAAAGGTTTGCATGAGTCGCGAGCTCGGAGCTGGTAACACTGTTGTACTTGCAAAGCCAATGAAAACCCTGGCCAGTTTGTCCAGTACATAAAATCTAATGGATGCTGCCAATTCATTCAATGAATGATTGGGGTTGAGGAAGAAAACAATTTTAAGTTATTTATTTGTAGTTACATTTTTGTTTTTTTGCAGTGTAGACAAAGGAGAATTAGGGGCCAGATGCAATGCATACAAGAAATAGGGAGGAGGACAGCTTGAAATGGGTCATGGGATGCCCCTAAGAGGATGGGAAATGTGGGTTGTAGGATCTTTAAATGCTACTTTGATAAGAGCTTTTTGTTACTCTTTCCCAATTAAAATCTTTCTTCTCTGGCCTCCTTTTGACCAACTCTTAGCGTGCAAGAACAAGGAGGTAGGGCCACTGGTGAATCCATTGAGAGTTGAGAGTCCGCATGTGTAAATTCAAAATTTTTTCGATTAATTACCTATTTTATTGATGGTGTCTATCCTGAAATTCTAACTAAAAGGATAGGTTTCCACTCCATGTAGGTTTAGGGTCACATATTAGGTAGATGAGGAGAGGCAAGTTCAAGGATACAGTGGGATCATTATATACCCTTAGTAAGTGGAAGTTGTCTTATTCATTCCCACTACTATATTAAATCTTCTTATGCATGCATCCATGTCTTTGTTCTTAGAATGCAAACCCAAAAAGTTGATCTCGGAGTAGTATAATGTGCGGAGAATATAAAATAATAACCCTATAAATCTATGTGGTATAAAAGAATTAAGGGTAAACTACAAATTTCATCGTTCAACTTTTTCTTCCTCATGTTTTGGTCACTATAACATTAAAAATTCTCAAATTTATCACTCAACTTTTGAACGGTTAATATCTTGTTTGCCCTACCGTTAAATAGTGAATAGTGCTATGAGGTGATTAAGAGTACTATAATTACATCATTTTGGAAAAAAAAACAAAATTTACAGCAGAACGACGTAGTTTTAAATCCTTACTAAACTTTTTTTCCCTTTCATTTTCCTCTTTTTCTCCTCTTTTCTCTCCATTTGTCCAAATTTTGGTCACCGCTTGTCGCAACCGGTCGATGGGTTTCAAAATTTCTCACCAAACTTGTTTCGCCCTTCTGGATATGAATTTGATGTTTGTTTAACAAAAAAAAAACACCCCAAAATTTCATGAATCTAGCATTAAACACTTAATTTTTATTCTTTGATCTTTGTCATCCATCGTCCATCGTCGGATGGAATCCGAAGATATGTTTCTCCGTGCCCCAAGAGGGATCTCTCCACCATTAGGATCTTCAATAGAGACTCTGTTCATCGAATATCTAATAAGCTCCATCTCCTTTTCGACAAGCCTTAGTGAAAATTTTTTGATAGAAGAGTTGGTGAAAATTTCCCATGGCTGTAATTGCACCTCGCGTAAGTCTTAGTGAAAATAGACTCATTGCATAAGTCTTGGTGAAAATAGAAGCTCTGTTAACTTTCATATTTTGGGGTCTAACGATCGTCATCTCCCATCCAACAAGACTCGATGAAAATTTATTGATAGAAGTATAGAACTAATGCCTTAGTCGTAGCTGCACCCTATTGCTTAAGCCTTGGTGAAAGTACAAGCTCTGTTGGCCTTCGGATTTTCACCAAGGTCTTTTGAAAGAGCTTTGTCGGATAGGATACTCATTAGACGAATCTTGAGATTCAGGTGAAATTCGAATTTAAAATAAAGCGATTTAAAATTTTATGATCTAACGACCATTGGCGATGGTAGTTGGTGCGTTGGTCGATCACGACAAGCGGTGGCAGAAATATGAGTTGGTGCCCACATGGCTCAAAAATTAATAAAAATTTTCATGTCAACATAGAGTTAGAGTGACAAAAAAATCATCTCTAAAGTTGAGTGATAAAATCAAAGTGTTTAAAAGTTTAGCGGCCGAAGTAGGAGTGAAAAGAAAGTTAAGTGATAGGTATCGTAGTTTACTCAAGAATTAAAGGAAAAATAGGCAAAGATCTGCAAATCCAATTGTATAATTCCTGAATCAGAAAAATTATATAAAGCCAAATTAAACACTAAAAATCATTCACAATATATGGTAAGAAGCATTTTGGCTAAGAGGATCATTAAATTCGGATTTGGTCTAACTTAATGTAACTTAATATATTTTATTTTGGAAACATTGAAAATCATACGTCCGTCCTTAAATACAACCACTGATATATGATTTATTAATCAAATAATCTGGATCAAGTATTGTAGAGGTCTAATACTGAGACAACCCTCTCAACTCAATTTGTTCCATTCATAAACGCCAATATTTAAACTCTTGACAGTGTTTAAAAGATCTAGTGTCTCATTCCACTAGATAAACTAATTGTTAGTTAATATAATTTTTTAATTAAACTAAATAAAAATATGTCGCTAATGAACTTGGGTGTGAATATGCTGACTTCTATGTTGTAGTTAAATTAAAGTAAAATCGACATGGATGTCTTAACTAAACATGTTTCTGAATCTGTCCAAAACAAAACACATAATTGAATGAAAATTGTGGTCAAAAGGGAAAGTGTGTTTTGGATAAAAGAACAAGCAGTGAAGTGCCACTAGCTTAGCTGTTTACTAATAATTGTTATAGTCTTGACCCTGCATCCTGAGATATATATATATTGGGGGTGATGATTATAAGAAAGTATATGTTCATAATCTTTCATAATATTTTTATCATTGACAACGCACGTATCGTACAGACGTAACTGCTCGAATTCAAATCTTTAAAGGATAATAACATTCTCTTTAATCATTGATGTCACTCATTAGGTACCATTTAATATGTATATTACAAGAAATATATATGGGATAAGATCACATTTGTTTGTGAATATAGGATAAGATCAAATTAATATATATAAATAGTCCGAAGTGATTACAAGGTAGCATTTGTTCATAATTTCTTTTAATCATTGACAATGTATATATCCTCTGCAGATGCAGTTGTTCGAACACATAACCTTTGAAAAAAACTTTACTACTTTTAACCATTGAGGTTGCTTAATGGTTACAATTATATGGAAAAATGGGATTATTTTGTTCATATAATCGCATGGTCTCATCCCACTAGCTTAATTATTTTCTCCGAAATACAATTATTTAAAATTTAATGTTTCATCAATTAAATAAATTGATCGTTTTAAAAGTATAAATTCGAAAAAAAAGTATTGATGTATATAAAATATATTTATATACAAGGGTTACTGATGAGTATGGTATATCTTGCTATACAAATTGAGAATTAAAGATTATGATAAGTACATGAAGTGAATAAAATCAATATCTGTAGACAGCATTAAGAGATATTCTTATCAAAATAGTCTCAACAAAACAAGTGGGATTCATGTGATTTTTAATTTATATATATATATATATATAGATATTAAATTGGTCTTCAGTTCATGATGAAGTGATCCTCCAAATCATAGTCTTAAATATTGATATTTTTCTTCATTTAAAATTGTATATAGTCTATGTTTTCTATCTTTCAGTTCAGATGTAAGGACAAACTTTTTTGCAGGACAATAACCATGGAGCTTATCAATTAGCTTGTGTGCCTCTTTTTAGTGTAAAGTAAGGAATTGGTGTTTGATTTTGGTGATCCTTTTAACATATCTAATTGTGCCTTCTCCTGAGCATGATGGTGAACTTATTTCCTCTGCACAAAAGCTTTTGTGATCAGGTA